CCGGGCAGATGTGATCCATGCTAGCACGACCAAAGTCACGAATAACCGGTCCCCGCTTGTTGATGAGGACGTTACAGGCTTCCAGTTCCTCCAAGGCGACGTTCGCTTTATGGATCTCCAACATTGCAGTAAAGATGTTGGTCCTAAATATCACCTTGTTAGCGTCGTTTATCTGTAAATAGCATGGGTATTACTTCAAATCATCCGGAGCTTCGCGAAAATCATTGAACGGAGCCGGCCCTTCGTCAGACAAGATGATAGCCTTCATAGTACGATATCCAAAGTAGCCGTAAAAGGTGGGAATATACCTCGCCGCATCGGTCTTCATTAGGTGCTGGTAGACCTTGGCCTCGTTGTCGAGTTGTTCCTGACATTTAGGGGACGCGGTTTTCACAATAATCCCATTGGCTCGATATACAATGCTAGTAGTTTCGGTGACGACGTGCTGCAAAGAAAGTGCCGGAATATTTCTACGGGAACGAGATTTGCGAGAAGTAATGTATCGACCATTATCCAGCAAGCGATGAAAAGGAAATCCGGCCGGGGGACCCAGTGGCGTCGACAGGTATACAGTTTGGATGGTGGAGAGGGCTATTTATTGACATTCATCAGTTACATGACCTCATCAATGTTTAAAGACGCACAATTATTTTGAATGGACCTCGTGGAGGCGGTCTCCGTAGAGGCGTCATTTGCCTGATTGGGCGAAGCAAGTTTGTATTCCGAAGGCACCTCGATTCGCAGTGTTTGGAGGAGCTGCTCATGAGTCATATGAGAGGAAGTCATCATGTAAAGCATGAGAGCGAAGTAGGGCTCATTCCAATCATCGAGAGAAAGGGAACCAGAGGAAATAAATGAACATCTTCTTTGTTGGCCGACTAACATGGGAATCACAAGGTAGAGGACATAAATGTTCCCGCCATAGACGAGAGCCCAACGGGGTGCATTTGCCCAGTCGTCCATTATTTTGTATGATAACTAGAGGGTCAATGAGTCACTTGCTGAAGCGGACAATGATTATCAGGTTCCATACCTTCGAGAGAATTGCTTCGTGTCCGACAAAAGTCTCGGGTAGTTCACCCTCAAAGCTCGAAGAGCTCTCACCCGCTGCTAGCTGTACAAGGTTATAGGCGTAGTTTTCAATGGCCACTGGGTCGACGGCTTCCACCAGGATGGCATTTTGGCCAGAGGACTGTAGTTTGAGTTGCAAATCGCAAATCACTCGTTCGTCTTGGCTGCGAGGGTAATGCTCGACGATTAAATCTTCTTTCGGGTGGATCAATTTGAATCCCGGTTCCAAGAAACGCCATGTCGCGCGTACTACTCCTGCGGTGCATCGCTTTGACTTGAGAATATCGCCCGTGTCCTTTTTCCAGGTCTCCCAACCCTCCAATAACTTCCTGTTTGTGTACTTGCCCAAGAGATATGGCTCAAGCTGTCCTATCATGCGCTTAGGGAGATCCTCCACGAGCCAAACTCTGAACGGATATCGCAGCGGTTCAAGGTGGTAGACTTCTTCCTCGTAAAAGTTATACAACCCTCGAATGAACTTGCTGAGCGCATCGTTATCAGGAACTTGAAAAAGTGTCGGGTGTACTCCTCCCCCTCGTTGCCGAATCCTCCGCAGGACGAATATCGACACCGCGAACACTCCCAAGAGCCCTAAGAGGGAACTAGAAACGAAGCGAATCAACCCCATTCCGAAGGGTGGCTGTATCGGAATCAAATTGCGTCGATGACTGCTTCGAATGTTAGTTCGATGATACTCGCCCGGAGAGAACAAGATACTCACTGAATAAAAGGAATTAGATTTCGAAATATGGTTAAGAGTACAGAGTTTATGCAAGGGTGCGTAGTGAACGGGGAGTCGAAGGAGGGATGGCAAGTTTCCGAGTAACCACCTGCTCCTTTGCAGCAATGATAGCCCAGAGCAAC